GATTTTCCACATAATATACCTCTCAAATATATTGCGCCCGTTCGGCGCCGTTAGAAGCGTGTAAGTTTCCATATCGAAATAAATATCACGGAGCATCACGAATGCAAAAATAATTTGATTGTCGTTATGTTTAAATTATTCGAGACGGTTGTTGGACATCCGACGATCAATTAAATTATGGTTTATTGAAAATACACCCCGCTGTGTCTTCCTGCAGGTATAACATAACCTATACTTATACAACGGCTCGCCAGTAAAAAGGAAATTCCAATTCCAATTACCTACCAGCCTTAGATTTCGATGGTTAATGTATTCGCAAAAAAAAAAAAAAATAATAAATAAACACCTAAATAGACTGTACATTTTTTTATCATTATTATTCTTTATTTTTTTTTTTTTTAAATATGTGCGTAATTTTTAAATGGAAATACGAAAAAAGGTTCTGCAGGAAAACTTGATTAATAAATAAACCACTTAATATAAGGTAAAATAATACCGCCCGGTGGATAAAGTGTTTTAAATTACATTCCGAAATGCAGATTATCATAAATTAGTATCTCAACGGTACGGGTCTAATAAGTTTGTTAAAGTAATAGAATTAAATAAATAATCATTGACGTTTTTAAATTACAAGCAATTTTAAAAGAAAATAATATTGAAAATAAAGAAGTTGATTATACTCGGTTCGTTGGACGGTCGTCTGCACTAGCTGATGAGTTGTGCGATGTGAGCGATTTTTAACATCATACCGTCAGACCAACTCGTGATAGTACCAACTCCATATTGGCAAATTTTCATGAGAGACGATAAACGTTTCGCTCATTTAAAAAAAAAAATAATAAGAATACTTACATAAAATAATTGTTTTCAATGCATTTGATGACTTTACTAATGATATTTATGATGAAAAAAAAAAACATAAAACACCAATAACGCTTTTTTATAGGACCATAATACGACATAATGTATACTGTTGGCAAAGCATCACTAACGGCTAAAATACGCTCAGAATCGTTTTTTCGTTGTTTATTGTTGCTTACAGATATACATCCCTCCTTATACGAGGTCTGTCCCAAAAGTCTCCAATCTTTGTCCGTTATTCCGCGCTGCTCTCATTTATCTGCATTTGGCTCGTGGAATCCTTTGAAGTAGTCTCCATTTGACGGGAGAACACGCTCCCACCTGTGCTTCCATATCCCGAAGTATTTCTGGAAGACCGTCTTTGCAATAGTCTTTAGTGAACTCGTCGCATTTGTTCGTATCGTCTCCGTGTCATCAAATCGACGTCCTTTAAGTGGAATTTTTAACTTTGGGAACAACCAAATTTGTATACATATATGTATTATATTCCCTTCTGTAATCTACTTTTGCCACTTCCTGGGTATAACAGTGGCTGCACACGTTCCCATTATTCTTGGACAGCATTTTATTTTCAATATGAATAAACAATTGAATAGGTAGTGGAATAATAATAACATACTAAATATTCTGTTTGAATTGGAAAAATCGTAGCAATTAGTAAAACGGATAAAATCACACATTAACTTTTTTATAGTTTTTATTTTATTCATTACATACAATACTATACAAATGTGAATTTTCTGGAATACAATGATCTTTGTGGTACGTTATGTACAGTTGATGAGTCATTCATTCGTCGATGAATTATCAGCAGTTGACTCCTGCCATATATTACAGTTGATGAGTCATTCATTCGTCGATGAATTATCAGCAGTTGACTCCTGCCATATATTATATCTGTCACTCTCTCATTCTGAAAAAGAAAAAACAGCAAAAATGTTAATGATTTGATAGTTAATACATTTTCTGCGTTTAATAATATAAATTATTACAGATGCCAACGACATATACGTGGTACACAAAACTCGTCACTTCAAGAATAATTTTCGCTACAGTTGTACTTTATAGCTATAGTTTTATTCTCTATAGTTCGCTAATAGAAGTATTGTTGTAATTTCCTCTTCTAGTTCAACCACTTTGGTTGCTTTAACACAAGCAAAGTTAGCATCGAGAGAATTTATTTCCACGTTGTTTTTACACTCGTGATTATCGTATGTGGCAGAACTTAACCATGTCTTTTGTCGATTTCCGAGCAAACATTTTACAAGAAATGACTCAATTACTGTTGTGAATAAAGTTGTAAATGTTTTAAATTTGACTGTCGATATGACGGGTTTTTTTTTTATTTTATTGAAACTATTATTATTATTTTACATTCTGTTGAACGAAAAAGCAATTTGTTTTACAAAGACGTGTTTTTTTGGTCCTCGCAAACACTTTTTTACGGTTGCATGCTCTGATTTTTTCACGCACTGCCTTAACAGATCCGCAATTTCCGATCCACGGAGTTTATTAATAATAATAGATTTCTCCAATCAACAAGATTTTATTTAGAAATAATTTATCGAAATTTTCAACGTTTCAATCACTTTGAACAGTTTTGTTTTGAAATTATGAGTGGAGCGAAGAAGCTTACGGTTTTTATTATGATGATAAATATTTTATTTANACCTATAGTTCAAAAATTTAAATTAAATTTAAATTTATAGATTTAAAAATATTAAACATAATAAAAATGTATTTTTGAACACCTAGATAGCTTTCAATATAATTATAATAATTAGCTTGAAGAAAAATATATCAGATTCTTTTTAATATTCATACAATAACTGGTAGGTATACAATATTGTTTTATTTATAACGATGTATTGCATAGACATTACGACCATTATCGGGGTCTATTTTCAATTGATCTATTATTAATTTGTGAACTATTTTTTGAATAAATACCATTTTTTTTTTTAGTGAATCAACCTGAACACTAATATGTACTTTATACTTTTCACACATAAATGCTTTTTTTTTTTTTAAATTGTGTAGTAGAATGGTGATCAAATTTTAAAATAGTGGTGAGTAAAAGGAAAGTGTTATAATGATTTCTTGCCTGAAATGATAAAAATGTATATGACTATAAAACTTTTTTATAGTTTTTATTTTATTCAATACATACAATATTATACAGATGTCAATTTTCTGGAATATAATGATCTTTGTGGTACGCTATGTACAGTTGATGAGTCATTCATTCGTCGATGAATTATCAGCAGTTGACTCCTGCCATATATTATATCTGTGACTGTCTCATTCTGAAAAAGAAAAAACAGCAAAAATGTTAATGATTTGATAGTTAATTCATTTTCTGCGTTTAATAATATAAATTATTACAGATACCAACGACATATACGTGGTACACAAAACTCGTCACTTCAAGAATAATTTTCGCTACAGTTGTACTTTATAGCTATAGTTTTATTCTCTATAGTTCGCTAATAGAAGTATTGTTGTAATTTCCTCTTCTAGTTCAACCACTTTGGTTGCTTTAACACAAGCAAAGTTAGCATCGAGAGAATTTATTTCCACGTTGTTTTTACACTCGTGATTTTCGTATGTGGCAGGACCTAACCATGTCTTTTGTCGATTTCCGAGCAAACATTTTACAAGAAATGACTCAATTACTGTTGTGAATAAAGTTGTAAATGTTTTAAATTTAACTGTCGATATGACGGGTTTTTTTTTATTTTATTGAAACTATTATTATTATTTTACATTCTGTTGAACGAAAAAGCAATTTGTTTTACAAAGACGTGTTTTTTTGGTCCTCGCAAACACTTTTTTACGGTTGCATGCTCTGATTTTTTCACGCACTGCCTTAACAGATCCGCAATTTCCGATCCACGGAGTTTATTAATAATAATAGATTTCTCCAATCAACAAGATTTTATTTAGAAATAATTTATCGAAATTTTCAACGTTTCAATCACTTTGAACAGTTTTGTTTTGAAATTATGAGTGGAGCGAAGAAGCTTACGGTTTTTATTATGATGATAAATATTTTATTTAAAACAATATCAGATAAAAAAACAAAAAACAAAATTTTTAATAAAACTAATAGTTCAAAAATTAATTTAAATTTATAGATTTAAAAAAATTAAACATAGAAAAAACGTATTTTTAAACACCTAGATAGCTGTCAATATAATTATAATAATTAGCTTGAAGAAAAATATATCAGATTCTTTTTAATATTCATACAATAACTGGTAGGTATACAATATTGTTTTATTTATAACGATGTATTGCATAGACATTACGACCATTATCGGGGTCTATTTTCAATTGATCTATTATTAATTTGTGAACTATTTTTTGAATAAATACCATTTTTTTTTTTAGTGAATCAACCTGAACACTAATATGTACTTTATACTTTTCACACATAAATGCTTTTTTTTTTTTAAATTGTGTAGTTTTATTTTTGAACATAGTAGTTTATAAACATAAATATTTTGAGTTATGAATAATATAGTAGTTTGGTATTTTTAAAATTGTATTAAATACATTTATTTGTGAAGCTATTTTCATCATTATTTTAGGGTTTTCAAAATTAAGGACATATTAATATGGATAATATTTTGTTTTGCGTTCTCTGAATATTAACTTTTTTACCGGTAGGGAAACTAGGTTTTTTTTTAATATTGTCATTGTAAATTTAGAATGGTGATCAAATTTTAAAATAGTGGTGAGTAAAAGGAAAGTGTTATAATGATTTCTTGCCTGAAATGATAAAAATGTATATGACTATAAAACTTTTTTATAGTTTTTATTTTATTCAATACATACAATATTATACAGATGTCAATTTTCTGGAATATAATGATCTTTGTGGTACGCTATGTACAGTTGATGAGTCATTCATTCGTCGATGAATTATCAGCAGTTGACTCCTGCCATATATTATATCTGTGACTGTCTCATTCTGAAAAAGAAAAAACAGCAAAAATGTTAATGATTTGATAGTTAATTCATTTTCTGCGTTTAATAATATAAATTATTACAGATACCAACGACATATACGTGGTACACAAAACTCGTCACTTCAAGAATAATTTTCGCTACAGTTGTACTTTATAGCTATAGTTTTATTCTCTATAGTTCGCTAATAGAAGTATTGTTGTAATTTCCTCTTCTAGTTCAACCACTTTGGTTGCTTTAACACAAGCAAAGTTAGCATCGAGAGAATTTATTTCCGCGTTGTTTTTACACTCATGATTATCGTATGTGGCAGGACCTAACCATATCTTTTGTTGATTTCCGAGCAAACATTCTACAGGAAATGACTCAATTACTGATGTGAATAAATTTGTAAATGTTTTAAATTTGACTGTCGATATGACAGGTTTTATTAAATAAATTTATTTGTGAAGCTATTTTCATTATTATTTAAGGTTTTCAAAATTAAGGATGTATGAATATGGATAATTTTTTTGTTTTACGTTCTCTGAATATTAATTTTTTTACTGTTGGGGAAGTTAAGAATTTTTTTGAATATTGTCATTGTAAATATAGAACGGTGATCATGTTTTAAAATAGTGGTCAGTAAAGGGGAAGTATTATAATGATTTCTTGCCTAAAATGATAAAAATGTATATATTAGTTTTTTAGTTGGGTTAATAAGTATATTTATTTGAAGGTCATACTGTTGCATATTTTGTATGTGAAGAATGAGACTTCATTTTGTAAATAAACGGTTCCAATTATCAATATTACTTCAAAAGAGAATTCATGTTTTTCATTAAATTTGTGTGTCTTCCAATTTTCTTCAATAATTAATTATAATACATGCTTATAATTATATGTAAAATTAATTATTATTGTTCTTTCGAAACTATTCTTACACATTTAAATCGTATTCAAAGTAAAGATGATGACAAAAACGTTTTATTTTGTCAATCATTTCATTAAAACATGGTAAAATGATTTCTTTGTAAGTAAAAAGTCCATGTTTTGTAAATACCGCATTTTTATAATAAAAAAAAAACAATTAAAAGTTATAAATCTTATAATATTTGCAAAATTATATGAAATGTTCATAAATCTCCCCTCCAAAAATATTATTTTATTTATTTGCCCTCAGTAAAAACATTTCTTGATAAAAATTCGTTCTTAGTGAGTAAATATATAAGAGTATATTTTTTTTTATCGGAGGTAAATATATTAAAAAATACTTTAACCGGGGGGTAAATTATTATAATGTGAACTATACACATTATAATATAAAAGTAGCACATTTTTTTTTTAGTTCCTTTTCCCAGAATATGAGGCAGCCAGAAGGAACCGGGGATATGTGAATGATTTTGTCTCCTGGCCACCCTGGAACATCCAATATGAGGCTGACTGTTTCTCTCCTGGGTGACAGTGTGCCACCCAGAGGAGAAACAACCCATATTTACAAACCATATTTACGTACATTTACACTTTTATATATTTACCCCATTTAATTTATCTGAGGGGATAAATACATCTAAATATATTTTTGTCGGGTATAAATAAAAACCTGGGATGAATTTACCGAGAGACTAAATTTATTTGAGTGATTAAAATATACCGTTATTTTACCGTGTTCGCAATAACAATTTTGATAATATTTTTTAGTAATATTTAAGACCGGACTCTAAAATAACAAGACAGTTTGTTTAGTTCCTTCACCAAGTCGTCTAGACGGTCCCCGTTCTCGCTAACGATCATCAATTTCCATTTATACGATTTGTAACTGGAAAATTTACACACTATCTTAGACATTTTGCATTTGCGACGGATATATCGAATACTGTTCATGGTAATCAAGAATTCCGCGAGGTCTGCGGAAATTTAAATTTTATAAGTTTTTCTCAACGCGTAAGAACTCGTGGACCCTTTTAAGGTTAATCGTATTTTTTCGGTCATCCGAAACGTTCCGCTAGTTTTCACTCGAGAATCCGAACCGCTCGGTTTATTGACACCCGTCTATCTCGGTTTTTGATTTTTCGTGATTTTTTTTTTTTTTTGCATCCTTTGGTGGCGTCGCCAGTTTACGTTCACTAACGGCCGAGTGTTCAGATTGCAATGCCTGAGAGACGTTCACGTTCTCGGTTTACACGGTTTTCTTGCTTCTCGTTTTCATATTTTCGTCGAACGAAAAATCCACAATTGTCTTCGTCGTATTACGTTTTTTTCACGGCGAAATCTTAAAGCGTTATCGTTGACTTTCGAGTCAAATATTAGTTAAATGACAGTCTGATGAAAGTTATGTGTTTACCCACTGGGATCTAAACTCACACTGGTCAATATCAAGAATTTTTAGAACGGTTTTTTCAATATCATAGAGACATAACAAAATCATATTGGCGTTCGGGTCGCAGAGTTTATTATGAGGTGGCTAAAATCAAAACTCGCGTGTTCCGATAATTGATAAAATGAGACCACGAAAATTATGTTTAATAAGGTTTTAGATTTTGAGCGAGGCTAGGAATTTATTGGTTTTACAATTATGTTTATTTATTTTTTTTTTGTGAACAAATATTCTACCAGCAATTTTGCTTCGGTTTACAATCATGGCACTTTTTCTAAAAGAAAATCTAACTGGGGTGGTACTTTAAATAGGTCATTTTTTGATTTTTCCAGGAGTTTTCCTAATAAAAAACATCTTCCCAGATGTTTTACGTGCCTCCTTGTCGTAGCGCCAACAGGCAGAGGCCCTGTCCGGCCCGGTGCACCCTCTCGACATATGCCCGAAAGCAAGGCACTGGAAACAGCGTGTCCTGTCCTCGCGGATACGGACCCTGCAGCTTACTAGGCCGATCTTCACTCTTCCTTCAACCAGCTTGCCAGCGACCTCTTTTGCGACTCAGATAAAGGCAGCCTGAGCTCCGCCAAACTGCTGCCGCATGCTCACCACATTGATCGCCCCGGGTTTGGTGCCGGTAGCAGCGCAGAGGGCGTTGGCGACCTCCTCCTTTGTGGTCCACTGGTCCAAGCCCCTAACCTCCACCATCGCTATAGTCTGGAGTGATCTGACAGGGACCTCCTCGCCCGGTGACCTAGCGACCTCCGCCCTGATCGTCTCGACTTGGGCGGCATCTCCCCGCACCTCGATCAGCAGGCCACCCGTCCTGCACTGTCTCATGCTGATGATGCGGTCTCCGATCACCTCCTGCCTGACGCTGGAGCGAATCTTCTAAGCCAATATATATAATCTAATAAGTAATTATCAACATACAGGAATACAATGAGTATAAGATGGCAAGGAAGGAGCTGAAGAAAGGAATAGAGAGAAGCAAGGAGAGCAGCTGGAGTAATCTCTGCAGGCAGGTCGAAGAGGACCCATGGGGCCTGCCATACAGGCTCGTTACGAAGAAACTTCCTGGCAGGAGACCAATCCAAGGGTTAACTTTGCCTGGCAGGATCGAAAGTATAGTAGATACGCTATTCCCGGCAGACGAGACTATAGTTTGGCCAGTAGCAGACGCCAGCCACGGATTCCACGAAATATCTATCGAAGAGATACGGCAATGCGCCCGGGACATCCCCACAGGCAAAGCTCCAGGCCCGGATGGTGTCCCCGACATGGTGGTTAAGAGAATAGCCGAGCGCCGACCGGAAATCTTCGCGCAAGCGTTCAACCAATGCTTGGGGGAGGGCATTTTCCCAGCTATATGGAAGAGGGCAGACCTAGTCCTGCTTCCCAAAGGGAACAAGCCACTGGACCTGCCGTCATCGTACAGACCAATCTGCCTCCTCAACACAACCGGAAAACTCCTCGAGCGCATCATTAAGGTCAGGTTAGATATGCACCTGGAGACCTTCGGCGGGTTTAGTGAGAGGCAATATGGATTTCGCAAGGGAAAGTCGACGATAGATGCCATAAGTCACGTCATGGAAGTGATCGACAGTAAAGGATCGGGGCCGCTTTACCGCAGGGAGCTAGGCGCGCTGTTGACGCTGGACGTGGCAAATGCGTTTAATACAGCAAGATGGTGTAATATCAGCGAAGGGCTAATACGGAAGAAGGTCCCTGAATATCTGCTGACAATTATCAGGAGCTATATGAGTGATAGGTCATTGGTATTCGGGGAGGACCAGCACAGGAGCATTAACCGTGGCGTTCCCCAAGGGTCAGTGATCGGGCCCCTGCTGTGGAACGTAATGTATGACGATCTCCTTCGCATCGACTTGGGTGACAATATCCCTGGGCACTCCTCGGCCGAGCTAGTTACCTTCGCGGACGACGTGGCGGTAGTGGTATCGGGACACAACACCGAGCTACCTGAGATAGCGGCAAACCGGGCTCTGGAGGCAGTTTCGTCGTGGATGAAAAGAAACGGTCTAACGCTAGCGGCCCACAAGACGGAGGCCGTAGTGCTTACGACGAAAAGAGGGTACCAGAAACCGACATTTATGGTAGACGGAGTCCCTGTGGTACCGAAAGAGAAGTTAAGATACCTTTTTTTTTTTTTTTTTTTTTTTTTTGTTTGAACCGCAGACTGAGGGAGGGACTGCTTTCGCATTACTTCTCCCTCAGCCCACATCGTTTATTTGTGCAAAACAACATAACAACTAATAATTAAAAAAATCCCGTTTACCCCTGCGGCGGGGCGGGCTCACAATTTAATACAACAGCACCGGATAGTACAATAAAAACAAACAAATATAGGTCAGCGCCGCTGCCTGGCACGCTCCAGCTCTTCCTTATGCCCCAGCACCTTCTCCACGAAGTCCCTGAAGTGGTCGGATTGCTTCTGGGCTTCCTTGAGCAGCTTGGCCCTCCTCGTGCTGTCCTCCGGTAGGTCTACCAAGGCCGGGCCGCACACCATTTGCGTCAGGTCTCCTACCTCCAGGTGCCTGTCTCCCACTGCCGCTACCAGTACTGACCTCTCCTCGCTCCAGTAAGGACAGTCAAGAAGGGTGTGCTCCACCGTGTCCTCTGCTTGCTGACACTCCTCACACCAGGGGTCCGCGGCCCTCCCCATCTTGTGGAGGAAAGATTTGAAACATCCGTGCCCAGTCATGGCCTGTGAGCCGTGGAAGGACAGCTGGAAGTTGACTGTCCTCCCGAGCCACCTCGACAGGTCCGGGATGACCCTCCTCGTCCATTCCGCCTTCGTAGTCAGGGTCCACCTCCTTGCCCACTCTTCCAGCGTTCTAATCCTCTCCGCCGTCCTCGATCTGCGATCAGCCGCTGTAGCCCCTGGCTCCCAGACGATGGATCGGACCCTAGCTCTCTCCCGCGCCTGGAGGTCCGCTGGCGGGACGCCTGCCAGGGCCAGCGCTGCTTCGTCCGATACCGTTCGGTAGGCACGTACGATCCTGATCGCTGTTCTCCGCAGTGGGGCGTTCAGGCGGGTCCTGTTGCGCTCAGAGTCGAGCGAGTGCCCGGACCACACCGGGGCAGCGTACAGCAGCTTGCTGCACACCACCGACCCTAGGAGCCTGCGCTTGGCGGCGCTCGGACCGTCCACATTCGGCATAATTCGCCCGATGGCGTTGGCTGTCCTGATGGCCGCCCCGGCCGCACGTGCGATATGGCTATTAAAAGTGAGCCGCCGGTCAAGCACCACCCCCAGGTACTTAATCTCTTCCGAGATCCTGACGTTCGTCCCGCCGATTATCAGTCGCGGGAGCGAGTACGACCACTTCCTCGTGAGGACCGCAGCTTCCGTCTTGTGGACCGCCAAGGAAAGGCCGTTTGTCACCATCCAGGCCGAAACTGCCTCGAGCGCTGGATTGAGCGCCTGCTCAAGCAGCTCCCCGTTCTGGCTGAGCCGACGATTGCGACATCGTCCGCGAAGGCGATAAGACGAACGCCAGCGGGGACTGGAATTGTCATGAGCGGGTCGTAGAAAATGTTCCACATCGTCGGCCCGAGCACCGAGCCCTGTGGGACCCCGGCGGTGACCGGCCTGACCGATCCCCCCGGCACCATCATTTTGCGGTCGCTCATGTAGGACCGGAAGACGGACTGCAAATATGTGGGCAGGCCTTTGCGAGCAAGCGCTACGTCCAGCCCCCTCCATGGGGCCGAGTTGAAAGCGTTTCTCACATCCAGGGAGACGACGGCGCAGATACCCCTATTTCTGGCATGGACCAGCGCGGCTTCGTCTGTCGCCTTGAGCACTGCCCTTAGCGCGTCCTCAGTGGAGCGCCCGACGCGGAATCCGAACTGGGAGTCCGACAACCCTCCCTCCATGTTATTGAGGTGGGTGTTGACCCGCCCGAGCAACAGCCTCTCGTATAGTTTCCCGACGGTGCTCAGCAGACCAGATCGGCCTATAGCTGGAGGGCTCATCAGGAGGTTTGTCCGCCCCTTTGTGCAGTAGCACGAGTTTGGCCCTCTTCCACATCCGAGGGAACTCCCCCTGCCCCAGGCAGCGGTTGAAAACGTCCAAGAGCACTGCAGGAATCATTTCGCATGCTCGCTTCAGCACCACGTTTGGAACCCCGTCCGGGCCAGGAGCCTTCCCGGGGGGGAGGTGACAGGCCGCCGCCTCTAGTTCGGTGGCGGAAAATAGCGGTGCGAGCATTCCGCCCGCTCTCGGGAGCGGGACCCTTGCCCAGTCCACGGGTGGGTCATCCGGGAACAGTCCGTCGACGATCATGGCTTCACGACCGCACGCCTGGGCCCCCGAGTTCCCCGTCCTCAGCTTTTTGGTGACCAGTTTGTAAGGTAGGCCCCACGGGTCGTTCTCGACCGCCCTACAGAGTTCCCTCCAGCTATGTTCCTGGGCCTTCCTGATAGCGAGCCTGAGGGACTTGCGCTCGTCTTGGAAGGCGCGCCGCAGTTCCTCCACGCCTTCGGTGGCAACCCGTCGCCCGCGCGACCTCTGGTAGGCCCTCCTGGCCGCCAGACACCGCGACCGCAGTTGGGCAATTTCAGTTGACCACCAGTGGACCGGTTTCTTGCCGCCAGGTCGGTCAGATCTGCGGGGCATACACGCGTCAGCCGCGCGAGCGAGATGCGCATCCAACGCCTCCGCTGCCTGGTCCGCCGTTGGCTCCCCAGATATCCCCAGGATGGGTGTTGACCGCAGGAACATGGTCAGGGCCTCGGGGTCAAGCTTGCGGCAGGCCCAGCCGAGCCGGTCGCCTGGGTTTGAGTCATCCGACCTGGTCGTTGCAGTTGAGGCGTGGAGATGTGCCGCAGNGTTGCAGCAAAGGCCGGCAACACGGCCAATGCACTCGGTAGGATACTACCAAACGTTGGAGGCGTGAGATCAGAAATAAGGAAACTCCTGGCGGTAGCGGTCACAAACCAGCTGCTATACGCAGCCCCCATATGGGCAGGCGCTTTGATCCACAGCAACAACGTGAAGGCAATCGAGGTGCCTCAGAGAAAGATAGCACTGAGGATATGCATGGCGTACAGGACGGTCTCCACAGAAGCCGCGCTGGTGGTGGCCGGCTTGATCCCCGCCCACCTGGCAGCCATGGAGAGCCAGAAAAGGTATAACGCGGGCAAGATCCAACAGGCAATAGACAAGTACGCGTATCGTGGAGTCACCATTGCCAACTGGCAAGCCGAGTGGCGCAACGCCACAAAAGGTAGGTGGACATGTAGGCTGATCGGGGACGTGGAGAAGTGGATTAGACGGAAGCATGGAGAAGTAAATTACCACCTCACGCAAATGCTAACCGGGCACGGGTGCTTCGATCATTACCTCCACAGGTTTAAAAAGCGCGGAAGCCTCGTATGTGTGGACTGTGGCAGCGAGGTAGACAATGCAGAACACACAATTTTCAGGTGCGACAGATGGTGGCGTTACAGGAGAGCCCTGGAGGTAACCCTAGGGTGCGACAAGGAGCCAGAATCAGTAATCGGCAGGATGATCGAGGACAAGGGCAAGTGGTCTGCAGTTACACAGTTCGTCGACAAGGTTCTGTCGACTAAAGAAGAAGAGGAAAGGGCGACTCAGAGGGCGCATGCACGTGCCCCAGATCAAGGGACTTGATTAATTTGCGGACGGTGTGTTATGACAATTGTTGTAGTAGTCGGAGGCGCCACCGACACCGTCCGTAACACCATGGCGTCGGGTAACAAACGACCCGACGCCACTGGATCCCGATAGCAGGATCTACTCAGCCAGGTACGGGACAACAAGGGCGGCGGGCATCGCCGGCCCGGGAAGAGGACGATGGCGAACGAGTACTCAAGAGCGGTGGGCATTGCCGGCTCAAGAAGAGGAGCACGGAACCACATCTCAAGGAATCTAGTTATAGTTGTTGTAAAAATTTGTAAACTGTAAATGCGATTTGTTTTTTACCAATAAATAATGCGGATACAGGGGGTAGGACGGCCGCAAGGTGTAGAACCCCCCTGTAGCGTCGTAATACCACAAAAAAAAAAAAAAAAAAAAAAAAAAAAAAAGCCAATTCTGGGTAATCTTCCCGACTAACCTTCACCACGACGGCCGCGGGTCGCGCCTGGGATGTCCGCCTCGGGGCCGCTGCCGGGCCTGCTATTGCCGTCGCTTTTCCCGCACGGCCTCCGCGCCTGTTTCTGCGAACGACATCCGTCCAAGAACCCTCCGCCGTCTCCTCGGCTTGACCGCCAGCGTAGTCTTGTGCTGCCGGCGCCGGTCCCGCCCCTTGACTTGCCCCACTGGTTTTTGGGCACGAGCCGGGAGATTGCCACCCGCTGCGCCTTCAGCTCCTCGCCGATGGAGGAGATAGCCCGGAGAATGTCACCGCCTCTACCCGGGTCTTCGACCTCGCTTCCGGCCGCCAGCTCCTTGCCCACGACAACCCTCCTGATTTCTTCGAGCTGGGCCGACTGCTCTCTCTGAGCCTGCTCCGTCTTGGCCTGAAACTTCGTCTGGTGTTCCTTCAGCTTCATGATCTTTTGCGACGCCCCGTCTGGGGACCACACCATACCTATGGCCTTAGCCGTTCTAAAAAGCTCCCTAAAGCTAAGGCCCAATTCCTTGGCCGCCTCCTTGATGGACACCTTGGTATTGCTCGCTAGGGCGATCTCGCCCTCGAGCCTTTCACGCATCTTATGCTGCTCTCCATTGCCTTTTCATACGCTTTCTCCACCTGCTCCCTGGAGGTCTTGGACGGATTAGACTGCCTCGGCGCTTGCGCGGTGGATCCTCCGTCCGGATGGCGTGATGAGGCCACGATTGGGGTGGCCCTAGCACCGGCATGACCGTCTGAGTCTTCGGGCATGCTCGGCTGCCCGCTATGACCACTGGAGCGAAGATACGCCGATTTCGAAAATGGGGGGAGGGGGGTGTCTACAAGATGTGTCTACAATCTGGCTTATTCTCTAATTAAAAGTATCATTTTTTTTTTTCCATACTTTTGCTTATTCTGAACATAATACATATACATGGATTTTTGAAAATCTTGTGAATTTTCAATGGTGTTTGTTGTTTTTATTTAATGAACGTTTATAATCATAGTTAATTATAATTAATATTATTGGGTTATTTGTGGAATTTATTGTCGTAAATATAATTCTTATTTAATCGGTCAGACGACCGACAGGATACCTACACATTATTTAATGACTTGCTTATTTTGCGAGACAATATAGAAGTATTTCATGTCATTGGCACGGCTCGTGTTGCTTAAAGGTATGGACGTATTTAACGATTTGAACAGTACAATTTTTATAAAATGCCTAACGTTGTTAGTGAGAGTGCCAGGTTATACCAATTCGTTGAAAAATTGTCCGGTGAAGTTTTTAAAACATAAGGTAAATTATTATTTTGTATTATTTGTGATCAGTAACGGAACGTTTTCAGATAATACAACATTTAAATACAAAAAAGCATACAAAAAATACTAATTTAAAAGCTGAATCTAAACAGTCATTCATCAAAAATACATTAGAAAACCGAAATAAACGAGCAACCTTTCCTCTTGATTTATGTCCAGCTATGTTAGAATCTGATATTCCTTTATGGAAGTCAAATCATCCATCATTTAAAAACTTTTTAGAAAAATAAAATGGTAAATGTGTTCCCGACCGGTCTACAATTCGCAAAAATCATGTTTCTATACAGTTTATGATAATACTATTTCTCGTATTTCTTTCGGAAATTGATGATGACCCGATTTGCGTTTCAAGAAACAAGACCACGGACTTTGAATGTCGATATATATGTTAATAATGTATATATATATACGTTTATAATGGTAAAATGGTAATCATAGTCTGTTTTTTCCACGAAAAAAATTATCCTGAGTCGTCTATCGATTAATGCGCGAAGAACCTAAAAAACGTAATTACCGTAATTAACTATAGGTAAAATAATTTTAATTATGCCATGCACATATTATGGGCATCAGCGGTAAAGTACGGTAAAGTATTATGTTCTGACGCCGCGCCGTATATGATTAAATTCACCGATTCCTTGACAATGGTATCCCTTAATTTAAATGAATTAAACTTGTATGACGCACGGGATGGGCAAATGTATACGGAATGAATATTTGTATTTTATTTAGACGGGCAAGTCCAAAAGACGAATGAATTATAATTTGTAAATTAATACGAAAGAAGGGTTCGCGTAAGCGGCGCCGCATGAGGCTGGGAAATATTCTTCTGTCGATAAATAGCGACGGTTAAAAAGGTATTTTTAAAAGCTCCCAGCCGAATTATCAAACTACGTGTATTATTCCCGGATTTATCTTTACCGCCCCAACCGTCGGGTGACATTGTTAAATGCGGTAGATTGTAGAATGCTATTCGAATAAATTCGATTCAATGAAATATATAATATCGCGTTTAGACGACGACGAAACAGAATCAATTAAAAAAAAAAAAACAGAGCTGATTTTGGGGATGGAAGCGGTCACTATTTTAGGTGAGAAGTTGGGAAGGTAGAATACATAAGGTTATTTCATTTATATCTGTAAGCAACGATAAACCATTGCTTGCCGAAAGACGATTCCGAACGCAGTTCGGTAATATTATACGATTTGAAGTGCCGTAATTTTTTTTTTGCAAATTTCGTTTAAATTTGATTTCAAAACGCTTAATAAAAAAAAAAAAAACTCGCTGCACTGTACAAGTGGCGAGTATGAAACGGAAATAGAAGTCGTCGACGACACGTTAATCACGGGACAGCATTTTAATATGCTCCAATAACACCGCGTGTGACGCGACCAGGGATTTTATTCGACAAAACAATCTGCGCTCGGTTCCGATCGCCCGGTCGTTTGTGTACGACCCGGCAACAACGTCTCCACAGCTCCGCGGACCGTGTTTCGCGTGCCTCCGGCATTGGTCGGCAATTGTCCGCCACTGTCCGCGCTCCGACCGCCGCGGTCGGTTATCGCCAAAGCCGCCGCCGGTTATCGACGAGCCCGTCTTTTGCCGGATACGTGCGCGGAAAGCCCGCTTCGCACACACCGACGACCCGTGCTCCGTCGTCGAGACTGCGCCTCTTGTTTAACGGACCCGCGTTGTGCGACGAGACTGCCCCCCCCTCCCCCCCCCCGATTACTAAAGCACTTTAATTGCGCATTGAATAGTTTGTATTTTGTCCACTCTCGTGTTGTAATAAAAATCGTGTTCGCGCAACCCCCGCAGAAACACCGTGTTTCTACCCATTGTAAACCGTTTTCTGTACTATCATTAAAATTCAATATTAAATAATTTTCACGGTTAATGACATTTTCGTTTGTCCCGCGACAAAATTATTTTGTGTACTGTTAGCCGTTGGAGGGGTAAATGTCAATATCGTTGTTTTCACTAGGTTTAGGGTGAACGAGAATGAATTTCAAAAATAAATAATGATAATAGTGATGTTTTTTAAACATGAATTTTTCGAACGTAGCTTCAAAATAGCATTTCAATTATATCAAATCGTACTGGTTGCTACCGTACTAATTATCGTGCTGGAACGGTGGACATATTATTACGACGCAGGTTTAATATTGATTATTCCGGCGTCTTGATTTTAAATTAACATAGTCTCTAATCCCCCCCCTTCAATTCCCATCAACCCCAGTTGGCCCTATACACGTATCTATTATTATAATATTTTAATGCTCTTTAATCACGCAGCATTTTTGAAATCCTTAACGTGTCCTAAATCCGGTACGTTTTAATTATTTGTAATATTTATTTACTCGATAAGCATTAAAGCGAACAAAAATTGTCTTATTTCCATCTAGATGAAAATTTGCTAATTGTTTTTCTTCGTCTAGATAGAATTGAACTTTAATGCATTTTTGTTATTCTCTTCTGAACAATTATTTTAGCAATTAATCGCTTGTCTCAAACTACAGATATTATTTTAAAATGTTATCTTTATACAACACGCTTGTATAGATGAACAAAAACAACATAATAATTTATATACCGGAAACTGAAAATACTTTGTGCATTGTGATAAAAATAAATATTTATATACTAATCGAAATTTACTGCGGGGAATGGAGATAATATACAAAAGATATTTCACTGTCGTAAAAAAAAAAAAAAAAAATAAATAAAAATAAAAATAAAAAAAAAAACCGATCGATTGGAAAAACCTGAGACATTTTGTTTTTCTTTTATTATCTACGCGCGGAACATAAATGGTTTTTTTTTTCCGGCCGAGTTAACTTTTACAACCGGACTACAAACGATCACACAATATCATCGCGTCCGCAATCGGCCATCGGTGACAGTTTTCGCGGCCCGGTCGATTCGTGTAAATCATATGGGCCCGGTTTTTTTCCCCTTTATAAGTCCGAGTCACGTTACATATTTCTACACACGTCGTCGTGTATTATTATACTGTACGAAAACGTATAGAAATATTCATATTCCGTTTCCGGTCTGCCGATAACGATGCGTTCGGTCTAATGCGGAAATCGTCTTGTTAGATAAACAGCCGACTGCTAGACAAACAAATCGGACACACCTGTTCGCGTCTCGGGAAGATAACTTATGGCAGGTTTCTTAAAACTGATAACAAAAAAAATAATTTTTGATCAGATTAGATTGACCAACACTTGAACCTAAAATCCCCAAACCATCACCGTAACGACAATTACATTTTATGCTACCATTTGTATGTATTTATATAATCATTGATTGCAATTGTATAGTGCAATTTGCGAGTGAATGTAGGTTAACTTAGAAAATGACGAGAAAAATAATTTCAGCAAACCGAATATAAGACGTTTGTGTCTTTGAAATCAAAATTAGATATACAGAGTTTTTAGAATCGGGTTGTATAGACAGGACACTATATAACATGTTCATAGTGCCTTAGTATAGGTAGCCAGATATCTACCTACAATAACAACGATATTAAGTTGTTGACTCAATATTTTGATGAACCGGAAACTCTAAAATTTTAATTTCAACATCAAATGCAGGGGTAAGGACCACAAATATTTAAATTTTAATTCAATGGTTATATTTTGGTAAAAAAATAACTTTAAGTTCAGAGAAAGTATTTAACTTGTGTCGGCCATAAATCAAATAAATATATTTTAGCACAGGCTGACACACTGACTAATATTAAATTATTATTTGGAATAATTTACCTTTTTTTCGGTTGGTATGAGATATTATTTTTTGTTGGCCATCAGGAAGACCACAGCTATCGCCGCCGTCGCCATCACCGCAGAAGTTATCGATAAGTAAGAGGTGGGTTACTCTGGTACCCCAATATCTAGATTTTTCATTTTTTTTTTCTGTTTTCCATTTATTGTAAGTACCGACAAGTTAAAAATTTGTATATAAATATCTCCAGGAGAAATATTTTTTTAGTATAAAAAAACATAAAAACCGTACAATTTTTATTGAAACTTGACGAACATATTATTTAAAACTAAAATCAAAAATAGTGTCATAAAACAAAATCATATGTATTTTATTTTGTGTATAAGAATCGTAATTCAAAATTATTTGTTCGATTTCTTGGATGAATGACATTTCACTTTAGGGCACCATAGACTTCTCAGTCTTCATAGAACCTAAACAAATATGTCTTGTAATGTCCGCTCGTCACTCTTAGTCCAGTTCTATTGCCACTCGTAAATTCC